GGACGGGGCACCAACCCATCGCGAGGCACTCACACCTATGGGCAAATCAGGACGGGGCACCAACCCATCGCGAGGCACTCACACCCAGGGGCGGATTAAGGTGTACGGAGGCCCCTAGGCTACAGTAGTCTGTGGGCCCCCCAACCCAGCCCCGCTCCGCGCCAATGGGGGCCCCCTTGCAGGCTGGCACACGTGGGGCCCCTAGGCTTAAGCCATATCTAGCCTGTGCGTTAATCCGCCCCTGCTCACACCTATGATCAATTTGGTAACTCCACTCAGCCTTAGCCTGTTTTTGGACTGTGGGGGAAAACAGAGCCCCTGCAGAAATCTCACAATGACACGGGGAGAACAGGCAAACTCCACATGCATGGAATCTTGCTGGAGACTCGAACCCTGATACCAGAGGTGTGAGGTAACGGAGTTCACCACTGTGCTGCTCAGTACGAAGAGTTGTCATTTCAAATATTATGAGTGCCCATCTTGCTTCTACATCTTTAGAAGAAAGATCATTTTAGGCCGATGGCAGACAGACTGACGGCAGAGAGGATGCAGGATGGATGCTTCCAAGTCACGGTGCATAGCTGTGTGCTTCTGGAAGGTGGAAACAAAGCAGCAACATCCAAAATAAACCAGCAAATCCTTTTAAGCAAAATGCCAGAACCACATATATCAACATTTTCATATATTTATAAAACACTAAATACTAAAATAATAAATACTAAAATAAATTTATTTTTAAAAATGAGAGACAGAGAGAGAGAGAGAATGCCATATGCAGAATTTTTTTAATAACAATCCATAGTTTTGAAAAGGACTGTTAAGTCCTTTTATCTATCTTTTATTTATCTATTTATTTTAAAGTTATTTCAAGTCTAATAATAAGATTAGTGAACTTTGGTATCAAACCATTATCTTCTGTTATTTTTAAATGAACTGTACCATTAATGCACCCAATTATATAAAGCCCTTCCTTAGAAAAAAATGTGAATGTAACTATTAATGTCTGTAAATGGTGTTTTTAACCTGAAGATACTGGTAACCAGAATAGGTTTATTTTGATTTAGATTTTTTTCCCTGTCTGGCAAAACTGACCAGGATCAGGGACTTAGCTTTAAATGCTACAGCCCTTGGGAAAATGTCCCCTTGGATGCCTAGGGTTACATATTGTGGCTCCTATAAAGGGCTGGGCCCCCAGAATATGCCAGGATATCCATGTCCCTCCGGAGGCATAGTTGGAAGATGGGTGGATGGATGGATTTTTTCTCTTTGTTGGACAAAATACTTAGTGCACATACTGATTTAGAATTTGGTGATCAATGTTGACACACAACAATAAAATGCGTCCTTTGCATTTAACCCATATATCATGACATAGCAGGGGGCAGCTAATTCAGCGCCTGGGAAGCAGTACCCTGAGAGACTGTATCCCTGAAGGACAAGAACAGCCTGAAAGATTGCATTACATTGCTGAGTTTTCAGGAATGTTCATTAGCCAGGTGGTCAGTCCTACAGGCAAGACCCGAGCCAGGAGGAAGGCAGACCGGGAAGGTCAGGTGCGAGCAGGATCAGGATTGGAGAAGCACAGGAACCAGGCAGGCAAGAAGGTTCAGGGCTAGACAGGAGACAGAGGAAGCACACTCAGTATGCTGCACTGGAATCAACCACAGCCAAGGCCCGAGCCACGGGATCAACACCGGGGGTCCAAGGCCCTAATTATAATACATGGTTATACAGGTATATTATATCTAATATACAGAGCAGAGCAGGGGGCTCCGCTCGCCGCTGATGAGTCGGCATTCCCACGAGGAGGAGGGTGACAACCACAAAGCTCCAAAACAAAATCCAGAAGCGGCTGCTGCTCCAAAACCCTGTCCAGTGAAACTGAGTACTCAGTCAGAGCCAAGCTAAATCTGCGATGCTGTCCTTTACTTAAGAACGAGATACGTTCCAAACCACCATTCATGAATTGAAATGTTCGTAAGTTGTTATTCAGCATCATTTTAAGGGTATTCAAATCTGCATGCATAAGTAAGTATGATATAATGTCAATACATGTTGTCTTATCCTAAAACACATTACTAATGATACATAAAACAAAAATAATCTCAAGTGGGATGCTTCGTTCTTTTTGTCTGAAAGTTCGTAAGTTAAATTTTCGTAAGTAGAGGACCGTCTGTATACTGATTAAATTTGTTTCTTTTCTTTCTGGGGAGCAGGAAAAATTCTATTATACTGAAAGTGAGGGAATCTTGATTCATCATGAGAGGGTCTTTGTGGACTGATGTACCAGTGAAGGGAGAATAGCTGTGATATTTCAAAAGTGTTTGGCATGACCTGGATATTTGCTCACACGTCACAGAAGTCCAGTCATAGGTGAGCTGCTGAAAGATAAGCATGCTGTGGCCAACACCTGGCTGACTGCTTCATGAATGTGTGAAATATGAACCTGCAGGACCTGGTGAAAGATGCTATGCACTGAGAGGAGATGAAATTTCCATCAAGAGTGATCTCAGTGTTTGGTCTTGTTTTTTTAAAGTGATGATTGCTTTCTGCCAGAATTAGGTCCTATCTGGAATGTCTGGAGACAATGACAATTAATCAAACTTAAATTTACGTTCTGCTGGCAAACAGACTGCCTAAGAACATTTATTTGCCGAGGTTGTGCATATCTTAATTCCTAAATTGCTACAGATTATGTGTCAGGCTTTGACATTGTCAGACCCAGTGGCTTATTCCTTAAGTACAATAGCAGACCAACCAAAACCTTAAAGGGACAATTTTGCGTGCACTCCACTTTTCTGAGAGAATAAAAACAATGCTGAATGGCTGAGTACTGACTCAGCAAAGAGACAAATGCCGTCATGAAGTGTGTCATTACACCAGCTGCTGTTTTTGTACAACTTTGGTTGTGATTCTAAATTAAAATAAAAAAATTAAATACATTTTTAATTCGTAGATGTTATTACACACACACACACACACATATATATATATATATATATATATATATATATATATGAGATTCACATATTTCCATGTGTATATATGTATATATATACTATGTCTCATTATATTGTATATATTTAAAATGATAAATAAAACTTCCTTGCTTTTATTAACACTGATATCACTTCCACAGACTATTGTAAAGTAAGAACAGGGTGTCCATGGTGTTTTGCTTGCTCAGTATGTCTGAATTTAATTTCAGCAATGTGCGATTATTTAGCCACTGGAGCTGCATACAATTTTAACAAATGAAGAAACTTCCTACAGGTATAAACTCGAGCTCTTCAGCAGATGACCAAACAGGTACAGCTAATAGTACAATAAACGGAGTGCTTTTCAAATATTTATAACAGTACAGTTTTACTAAATCAAAGAATCCAGGTTGAACATTCTGTTGGATCTATTGATTTTGGAGTAATTCTGCACCGATGCAATGTCGATCAAATGATCATACGGGAGACACTGCCCCTTTAAAGCCAAACTAGTCGCTCGAGCAGTTCCTGGCAACACTTTTCTCCGAAGGACGGGAAATAATGACCAGCAGAGCTCTTGGAAAACTGACTCCACACTTTCGAAATCGTAAATGTAACTATTTCTATGAACATCTTAGTTAAACATACCGATCAGTCTGATATGCTATACTTATGACAGTCATTTATGGCGTGATATCAGATTACTTGATTCATTTTTGA